TATATATTAAAAAAAATTAATTTAACAATTAAATCATTAAAATTTGATATAAAATATGATTTGTTGAGATCTATCAAAACACACTTTTGACAAAAGTGAATCCCTCCTTATATATATATATACACGAATGATCTACTTTATTCTAAGAGTCTTAATAGAATTACTCCAGATGATAACTTATGTTTTACATCGAATTATAACGATCTAACTAATAATTCAAAGTTCTAAATGTATAAATTAAGTTTATAGGTTTAAAATTTTTTTAAAAATAAAATTTATTTGATACTCCATTTAATTTATTCAAATTGATAGAAAATTATAAAAATATTTTATACAATAATTTGAATTTATATAACAAAATATGATATGACTTCAAATTTTTTAAAACTTTGTATTTGAATTAATGAAATGAAGTATCAAATTATTTTTAATTTAAAAAAAAAATTACAGACCTAATTAATGTTTTAAGAACTCTTAATTAATTTAATAATTAGATTGTTAAAATGTCATCTAAAACATAAATTATTAAGTAAAGTAAGTCTAACAAAACTTACTCCAAAAATAATCTTTAGTAGACTTATTTCATTTAATAATTTATGTTTTACATTAAACTTAAAAAATTCAACAATTTAATTATAAGTTATTAATGTATAAATCAAATAAGAAAATATTTAAAAAATGTGAAAATCATATTATAATTTATTTTATTAATTCAAATTGATAAATAATCATAAAAGTATTTAATATATTATATTTTGAATCTATATAATAAAGTATCATATATTTTTTTTAATTTTTTTTATAGAATTAAGAACTCTTAATTTAATGACTAGATTGTTAAAAATTAATATAAAACATGTGTTATTGAGTGAAATAAGTATAACTAGATTTATTTTTAGAGTAAGTGGATCCCTTCTCTTTCTCTTTCTCTCTCCCTCTCTACATATTAAACAAAAATATATATAATTTTTCACATATTAAAAAAATAATTAAATTTATTTAATTGTTATGATTTCGTATAATCATACACCATATTTCTTAAAATACTTTTAATCACAAAAATAGTAATTTTATTTTATTATTTTAGGATTTTTTTTAAAGTAAGAACATAAAATAAAATTTAAATGATTAAAAATTTACTTTATATCTGTCTAAGAAATTTAAGCATTCTTTTTTGTTTATATAGATCTAGAAGTAGAAGACATTTTTTTTTATCTTATATATCAGTTTTATAAAATTGAATTAAACCTAAAATTTAAATTTTTAGATCATTAATAAAATGATTTTATTGATTAATAATATATACAATTTTGATTAATAATGTAGTTATCACTTCACAAAGTAATATGACATTTGGTAGTTAATAGAATTTATTGATTACATGTGAAGACAATTTTATTGTATAATGTATGTTATTTTTATTCATATAACTAATAAGTTATTACTTGTGGTGTTAAATTATTGAAACTTTTTAAAATATATTGCATTTAATATAATAATACTAATAATAGTTTAATTGCTTCTGAAAGAAAACTTACTAATAGTATAAAAGAAAAAGATACCCTGATTGCTGGATAACAGCAAACGACGAAAGTTTATACGTGTTCCTTAATTGTTGGGTAACAGCAAACAACGAAAGTTTAACGTGTACCTTATCCAATAAGACAATTTGTTGACCGCCACAATTTTAATATATAGCTTTGAAAAGTTCTTGGAAACAAATTACGCAAGAGCAAAACTTGAGAATTTTCTAATTGTTGCTATTAATTTGAGCTTTGGATATAATTATATTAAATATTTAGAAAAATAAAATTTGTCATATCGGTATTCAATGTATTCTTAATTACATTGTCTCGTACAAAAAATATAGAACAAATTTTTTGAATCTCATCAACGTCTTATTCTTTAATTAATTTTTGATGTTATGTTATAAGTGTGATGATTCATATATTTAAGGATCAACTAGGAACTATTCAAATAAACAGTTGGTTGAAGTGGAATATATGAAGACAGCCAACAATATTCTATACTGTCATCAATAAAAAAAATTTATGTTTATCCAATCTAGAGCGGCAAATATATGTATACTTGACGTAGCAATCACCGTATGATTGGATTTTTAATTTGAGGGAAGAAAGAACAAGAAATATACTCGTAGAGTTAATCATCTATACATTATCAGTGTAAAAAATTTTTACACCGACAATCAATCATATTTTTTAATAGTGTCACGTCAGTTGCTTATTTAAAAAAATAATAATAAAATAAATAATTTTAAAAGATATGATTGGTTACCAATGTAAAAAATTTTACACTGGCAGTGTATAGATGATTAACTAAGGTTAAGCTATCAATAAATGATTGGATTCAATGTTATGCCCGAATTTCTTAAGTTTGAATTTTAGGGGAGCTATGGTTACGTGTTTTTGTTTTTTTGAAATTTAACGATAAGATTATTAATTTATGCGTTTGATTTGTTATTTAAAAAATAATATAATAATTTTAATTTTTAAAAATGATTTTCTCATAAGTTCTCACAAAATTAACTTTTTTGAGATATGAACAAAATTTTAATAACGTGAAAACATAACATTACTTTATTTATTTATTAACGATGTAAATTTTTTTATTCTTAAGTAACATTTATAAATATTTATAGAAATACTTATATCAATCCAAACAAATTTTCATAAAATTTTAAAGATTTATAATTTTTATGAATCATAATTTTTAGATATAAAAAAAATCAATATTCTTAAACATGATAGATATTTCATGTGAAAAGAATATCTTAACAAAAATAACTGATCTCGATGAAAAAAGAAATTAACATTAGTTAGTCACATACATGCATGAAATACAATAATTAAACATTTATGATAGAACAAGTACAAGTCATATGGTAGACCTATAAGACATTTAGAAAAGTTGTCCTCAATAAGTCAGCATTGATTAAGGTTAATTTGCCAAATAATTTGAGCTCGAGGAAACTATTTTGGACGTCTTTTAGACATGTTAGGTGAGTTTTGTCCGTTATAAATATTTAGCAATTGTTATATAAAACATTTCATGTCTATACATACGTAATTAAACTAATGCTTGGTAACACATCACCTATGCTTATTGACTTTGCGGTTAAAATGTGTGTGTAACTGTTTTTTCACAGGAAAGTTGCTCTCTCTTTTGAATCTTGAATCTTGAATCTTGAATCTTGAGTCCTCTTCCTTGCTTGAAACATCTATCACATTTAGAAGCAACAAAAATATATACTTTCAAACATTGACCCTTCATGAGAAGCTATTAGTAATCCATGGGACATTTGTTTACCGCCAAAAAAAATAAAAAATAAAAAAAAGGTGGAGGTAGTAACAAGTTATTATGATCCTCTATAAAAGGAACTCATTTGGTGAGAAAGGGAAATGCAATCAAGCAGATATGGCACATAACGTATATATACTTTTACGTCTCTTTCTCGTTGCTCTAGTTACCTCATTGATCACCATAGCAGAAGCCGTTACCCCTACTGAGGAACTAGCTTCGCTGAATCGGAACAATTTTCCATCTGGCTTCATCTTTGGTACAGCATCCTCGGCGTACCAGGTATACATATATACATAGCATAATGTTTCACTTCTTTAATTTTTTAACTTTATTTTGTGGCGTTTGATCATGATTATGCATGTATATATGTAGTACGAAGGTGCAGCAAATGAAGGTGGCAGAGGACCAAGTATTTGGGATACCTTCACCCATAAATATCCAGGTATATATACATATATCTGTTATATACGTGACACCCTTGTCCAAACTTTTTTATACAATTACTGTTACGTTCATATGCGAATTGAAATGCAGGTAAGATAAAGGACAGGGCCAGTGGAGATGTTGCCGTTGACTCATATCATCGCTACAAGGTAAATATATTGTCGATTCTAATTTTCTGCTTTTGTTTCTGCTAAAGTAATATATATATATTATCAATCATTAGTTAAAAAAGTAAAACTTTAAATTCATAAACTATGTTTATTTGCATAATAAAATGTATATATATGGATTTCAGTAAAGATATAGACTACTTAACTAATTTTCTTGTCACGGCACTAAAGGCCCACATCTATCAAATGATTATCGGTTGTAACTTTAGATGTTATATAAAATATATTATAACCAAATTAACTAATTAACAAATTAATTAGACCCTTGGAAATTCAACTAAGAAAGAATTTTTAAACCACGCCCCCACCCCAAAAAAACATGTTAGCATTTTTTGTTTTTCATTGTTTTCAAGTAAAGCCTGTGATGTCTTGTTGCATATTATGCTGTAGGAAGATGTTGGGATTATGAAAGACATGAATTTGGATGCTTACAGATTTTCTATATCTTGGTCTAGAATACTCCCGAGTAAGTCAAGCATTGATCAATGGTTATTTTGGACTTGAATTTATCTGTTAGGATTTTAACAATTTCTCTTCTTTATAATATAACTACAGAGGGAAAGCTAAGTGGAGGTATAAATCAAGAAGGAGTGGACTATTATAACAATCTTATCAATGAGCTAGTGGCAAATGGTTAGGCAAAAACATTTTTATTATTATTGATTTTTTTTTTATATTATGCTTTTTATTTTATTGATTTCTCATATCGATGAGCTAGTGGCAAATGGTTAGGACAAAAACATTTTTATTATTGACTTTTTTTATATTATGCTTTGTATTTTCTTGATTTCTCATGTTAATGATTATGATAATAAATTGAATACTAATTATAATATATCAAACTAATGGTAGGTTTACAACCATTTGTGACTCTTTTTCATTGGGATCTTCCTCAATTTTTAGAAGATGAATATGGTGGTTTCTTAAGTCCTCTAATTGTGTAAGTAATACAATTTAAAATTTCTACTTGAAAGCTCAGCTAAAATATTTATGGAGATAATTTTAAAGATTACACATGTTGAATGCAGGAAAGATTTTCAAAACTATGCTGAACTTTGCTTTAAAGAATTTGGTGATAGGGTAAAACATTGGATAACTTTTAATGAACCATGGAGTTATAGCCAACATGGTTATGCAACGGGGAAAATGGCACCAGGTCGATGTTCTGCTTGGTTGAATCAAAATTGCAATGGTGGTGATTCTGCCATAGAACCCTATTTGACCACACATCACCAACTCCTTGCTCATGCATCAGCTGTTCATGTGTACAAGACCAAATATCAGGTTAATTAATTATTAATTGACAACCTTGTAGCTCTAAAGTTTCTTGAACCGTAACATATTTAATTAATGTTTTAAGATAAGTGTGGAGGCATAAAAAATTAAGGAATATTACAAAAGGGAAATTATTGATAGCTAATTTTTAAATAGTTTTAATAAAAAAATTATTATTGCAGACATTTCAAAATGGTTTGATAGGCATAACCTTGAATTCTAATTGGTTCGTGCCTCTCTCGGATAACAAACTTGATCAAAAGGCTACGCAACGAGCTACTGACTTCATGTATGGATGGTAAGTACTTCTCTCTCAGATCCTCGTGCACAAATCTTACCTCTTCCTCAAAATAGACATTAAATAGTTAAAGTGGTGTTAGATCATTCTTATCAATGTTCAAAGTGTTTTGAAATTGAAGTGCATTGGAAATCTATGCGAAAAAAATTTAATAAAGTAAAAACCATATGTAATAGGCAGGTTTATTTGTGTTTCATTGATTATACTTCTCCAATGGGACACAATTAATAAATCGATAAAGATGCACTCAAACAATGGAGTTACCAAAATTACTACCCAAATATACTGATGGTTTATTTCATTTATTTATTTTATTATAGGTTTATGGATCCATTAACAATGGGAGATTATCCAAAAAGTATGCGATCTTTGGTGAGAACACGATTACCAAAGTTTACAAAGGAACAATCAAGATTACTTATTGGTTCATTTGATTTTATTGGTTTAAACTACTACACCTCTAATTATGTCTCTGATGCATCTCACCAAAGCAATGTCAAATTCAACTATGTAACAGATTCTCTTGTTAATCATTCATGTAAGAACAATTGTCTAATATCTATATATTTATATAAATATTATATATATATATATATGTTGAATTTGATAATTATATAATGACATTTTTTTAATTTTGTGATTGTAGTTGTGCGTGATGGAAAATCTATTGGTCTAAATGTACGTCTGTGGCAATATAAAATTGTGAATATTTTACTAGTTTGGATTTTTTTTCTTCTTAAAAATAAAGATATTTACTTTACATGTTTATGCAGGTTGCTTCAGAATGGTTATACGTTTATCCAAAAGGAATTCGAAACCTTTTACTATACACTAAAGAGAAATACAACAATCCTTTAATTTATATCACTGAAAATGGTAAATGATTGCAAATATCACATTTATTTTCCTTTTAGTGATATTGAAAACTAGTTAAAAATAAATTAATGAGAAAGTAGTAAAAAAAACTTAGTCTATGTTTATAATATATATATATATATATAT